GCAATGTGGGTGGGAAGGGAATGGAGGACAATTGTGGACACCGGAGGTGGTGTGAGAGGACAGTGGGAAGGGACAGAGGGTCAGAAAGAGGGGTGGAAATAATTCTAGAAACTAGAAATGGAAAATTTTTTGTAATATGCATGATTGAGTCACTATGCAGTGTTTACTGGATGGGAGATTGCATTTTGTGTGCTGTGATGATTCTTATGGAAGGAATGTAAATTGAGTTACAAAAAAAAAAAGTTTCAGGAAAAAAAAAATCTATTCAATGACTGCAGTAGGGTATGTAGCCCCAGCTAGGTGCTACTTTATAGGATGCGTAAAGTTAGACTTTTGTTCATGGAAATGTGTGTGTCACCTGTGTTTGCTATGAGGGTATTTGGATTGATTAGCGTCTTTGGTGATTCAATAAAATGTGGGGGGTAAATGGTATAGAAAGCAAACACAGATACCAGAGACAGTGTGGGAGGCGAGTGGGAGATGGTAGAGGGTAAGAGACAGGGAATCAAGGATGGGGGGGAAAAAGCAAAACATAAAGAAAACAAGAAATGGAAGATCATTTGCTGACAATAACATGTTTGTTGATGTGCTTGACTGAGACAATATACAGTGTACTCTGGATGGAAAATCTCATTTTGTATGCTGTAATGATGTACAGTGAATGAATGAATGCAAATAAATAAATTGAAATAAAAAACAAACAAACAAACAAAAAGAATTCAAAAAAAAAGAATTATAAGACTTTGCCACAGAACATTAGCATAACACAGCTCAATATATTCGAAAAACTCAAATAAAAAAGATATATATGTAAGGTCATTTGAAAGACTTATGTTCCATTTACTCTTCTAGATAATTTTAGTTTCTTATCTTTGGTTAAGACTGACTTTTAAAAACCGAACTTAAAATTTTAAGAATTATGGAAATATTTTAGAATTTCTTTTTGATTGAGGTACAAATAAAAAGCTTTACCTTTCCTTAAGTTCTTCCCTTAGATCACAGTATAAATTATGAAATGAACTTTGTATCCCAGTTTGCTCTGATTCTCCAGGTCATATTCAAATTTGAACTCTAACAGCTCTATATGTACATATTTTTACATAGCCATATCCCAAATTCCCCTTGGTTCTTATTTTCTATCTGTATTTTTTCTCACTTTGATTTTCATCAATTTAATTTTTTTTCTAACTCAGTGGTAAGCTACAGCAACCTACTGTAATTACATTGCAAAATAATGCAGGAAACAAATGTTTAAAACGTACAAGAGACCTGACTGTATCATCTTCTTCCTTGGAAAGGGCAGAGTCTTCAGAACACCAAGCTAAGGGAAGAGAAACAAAAATTTTTTTTCAGAGTTCTAAACAAAAGAATATAGAAGTCTTCAGTACTAAGTGGCTATAAAATCCCCCTATAGATGAATGACCCTTGGAGCCATGAGAAACATCAACTATCATCAAGCTATAGAGACACTGAAATGTACATGGATGATTTAATCATATTAGGCCTGATGGGAATTTCTGGAGAATCAACTCTAAGATACCTAAGAAATCTATTGGCACACAGTATTTCCCTAGGATCCTGCTATTAGAAAATTTACCTTACCTACATAATAATTGCTACCACAAAGATTTAAGGATTAGGATGCCTTTAAAGTGATTATGTTTTACCATGTAAAATTTAGACAAAAACCTTAACCAGAGACTGGTTATAGGCAATATGGGACATTCATATCATGGAATGAGATGCAGTCATAATTCTAATGATATTTTTAAATAACCCGATTTCGTTTTTACTCTAACAAAATTCTGTGTTTGGGCATTAAAAGATGGAAGACTAAATACTTGCATTTATTTCTGCTCTCTCACAAACCCAACCAAAATGTCAATAAAGGAACAAAGGAAGATAAAAATCACAAAAACAAAGTACATAAAGGACTTCAGCAGATAAGAGACGTCAACAAAATTCTGGAAAAGAGCAGACAAATAAATGGTATATAACCTAAGCAGAGAAAGCCAAAGCTTAAGTGAGGGTCAGGGACAGTGGGAAAGCCATGGTAGGACCCTAGAAGGGAAGCCTTAGAAAGACTAAGGAGTTTAGGAGTGGGGCTGATAAATAGGAAACTGAATGTAAGATATAAAAAGGTGCTAAGATCTTCACCCCACACAGTATGGTGACACTACCTTCACAATGCCAATTTAAAAAAAAAATCAAAGATTTTTCTCTAGATACAGCATCTGGATGTCTGGCATTTTAGACTCAGAAAAAGGTGGGGTTGAAACAAAATAGAGAAAAAAATTTAAGTCAAAGTTCTTATCTTACAATAAAAAGTGCCTCCTTCACCTTTCTTTGTTTGCCTCCCAAAAAAGTGTTCTAGCTTATACTCCTCAAGCAAAATCTAGGACTTCTAGATGGGGAAAATCAACTAGCATGAAAGAAAATGCCTACAGAGATGACATCTGATCAACCTTCAACTTTGAGTTAAATACCATATTAGAAAAAAGGGGTTGGGGCTGACGGGTAGTATGGTCCAGTTAAATACCTTATTAGGAAAAAGGGGTTGGGGCTGACGGGTAGTATGGTGGTTAAGGCACTGGATTCCCATAAGGATGACTGAAGTTGAAGTCCTGGACTTGACAGCTTGCTTTCTCACTTTCTCCCCCGTCTCCCCGCTGCCCCCAGTGAGCATGCATGTCAAATAGCAAATTAAAGAAAATCATAATAATAATAATAAATAAAAATAAATAATTCTTAAAAAAAAGAAACAAGTGCAAAGAGAAGTGTGTTGGGATGGAGATAAGTAAAGGGGTTAGGTAGTGAGAAAGAACTAAATTCTTCACTGTCAATAGGAAATATCTATTATAGAACTGAGAAATCAATCATTAGTAATATAAGGATGTTACTCAGAAAAATGGAGTTGAATATTAGGATATACAGATAAAAATATTGAAAATGGTTGCCTCTGGGGAATGGGAGCAGGGGATGAAGGATCAAATATGAAACTTCTGTTTATAATTACGTAACAGCATTTTTAAAAGTTTTTTGCCATAGGGCATGTGTGCTCATCAGAGAGAGAGAGAGAGAGAAAGTGAGAAATCATCCCACAGGGTAATGGCCATGCTGCAATCCCTTTTCCTCCATTCTCCTCTCAAGATTTTGGGCAGGCAAACACACACGCCCAGTGTGATTTTCAAGTCACCAGGTCCAAGACTCAAACTGTGGTCAGTCATGTGGGAGGCCACTGCCCTAAACGCTTCAGCACTTGCTGGCTCCCATAATGGCATTTAAAGAAAATAAGGTAGCTGAGGCAGCAGGTGGTGTGGAGGTTAAGGTGGCTAGATTCCCCATGGCCAACTTTGTGGTTCAAGTTCCAAACCCAATGGCTTGAAAATGACACCAGGCATGCATGTATGCCCAAAATCCTGAGAGAAGAATCAAGGGGAAGGGACTGAAGCATGGCCATCCGTCATCCCAGGGGGGGGGTGATTTTTCTCTTTCTCTTGTTAGTCCATGTGCCCTATACCAAAAAACTGAAAAAAAAAAAATCAAACATTTAAATAAATAAAATAAAAGACAAATGCAAAGTCAGTAACAGCCATGTGAACTCTCTTGGCAGGAATACTGAATTTCTTAACCTCTTACAACTATCCCTGTGTGTGCAGTCTTTCTCTTCTGAATTCAACCTATCTCTGAGCCACCTTACCTCTCCTTTCCATTGTCTGGGTCAAATGCTCCATTGCCACACAACTATTGCTGAATTCTCCAAAGGCTGAGATGTCATTCAGACCTTATGCACTCTGGGCAGAAGAGTCAAGACAGGCTACAGGTCCAGGAACGTGAGGGTCAACTCTTATCCAGGATGCTTCATCCTCCTGGGTAGGTCTCAAGTCAGTAAGTCTTCCATGATAGACACTTGTTCCATAGGCTTCTTTCTATTCATAACACAGATCTGTCCTACCCTTTTGGAGCCAGGATCTGTGGGCTTAGGACATAAATACAATTTACATGATGTTTTCTCAGTAGATCCCAATGATAACCAGCCTTCAAGATGTCCCCAAATAATTACTGTCTTCTGATATGCATGTCTTGTTATAACCTCTCCTGCACTTAATCAGGTTGACATTATAAACAGTAGGATATCATGGAAATGACAGCATATGACTTCCAATATTAAGTTCTAAAAGACACTAGGGTTTCTGTCTTGGATATTTTTGGATCATGTACTTTGAGGAAAGATACCTACCATACCATAAAGACATTCAACCAACCCTAGGGAGAGGCCTTCTATCAACAGCTAACACTAGCTTGCCAGCTATCATGGAAGCAAATTGTGCAGCCCCTCATCCAGGCTTCTGATGACTACAGCCCTGCTAACATGCTGACTGCAACTTTGTGAGATACTGGGGACAGAATACCTAGCTAAGACAATCCCCACAGAAATCATGAGACAGTGTTTATTTCTGTTTCAGTCACAAAGTTTTAAATTTATTGCATAGTAACAGATTACTAATACAACTCTAAATACTTATCTTCATTGCTTCTAATTCATACTCTCTAGAATCACTGGCAAGAGATGCTGGATGCAGAGACTATCAGGACTCTGGAGGAAAATTCAGACACACCCACCTAAGCTGAACCAAGTATTAAGAGACACCAAGAGTCTAGAAGCAAACGGATGTTCATAAATCTGCTCTTCAAATATATTCTATGAGTATAAAGGTGTAGGCTTGATGCAGTGATATAAAATTGAGTAAAGAGCCAGAACATGGCATGGAGGTTGAGGCACTAGATCCCATACGGCCAACTCCATAGTTCAAGTCCCAGACCCAGTAGCTTGAGAGTCACACCAGGCATATATGCACACATGCCCAAAATTTCAAGAGGAGCCTAGAGGAGAAAAGACTTTAGCGTGGTCATCCCCTTGAGAGTGATTTCTCACTCTCTCTCTCTCTGGCAAGAACACATACTCTATAGCAAAAACGAAAATAAAAACTGAGTTAACAATTACTCAGATTAGCAATAATTGCAAATTTGGAGAAAAAGAGAGTTGCAATTAAAAGTCCACCTATTTTATTCTCTGAGTTACTTGACAATTGAAGTAGAGGAGAATTGCAGTTTATAAACCTAAAACTCCTTATTTGAAATGTGAATTACTCTCACGTTATGATGATAGTGCATGAATAAATGAAATGACTATCAAGTAAGTTAAAATATGTTATTTTACCATTCACTATGATCCTTTATGGCATAAAGGGTTAAAAAGAAAGATACAAGTGGGGGGCCAACAGGTGGTGTAGTGGTTAAGGCGTTGGACTCCAACATGGCAGACCATGGTTCAAATTCTGGAACTGCTGGCTTAGAAATCATACCAGGTACATTTGTGTGTGTGTGTGTGTCCAAAATCCCAATAGAAGAATGGAGGAGAGGGGACTGTTGCATGGTCATTCCCCTGGGGGATGATTTCTCACTTTCCCTCTCTCTGTTTCTGTCTCTCTCTCTCTCTCTCTCTCTGGCAAATACACACACACCCTGTGGTAACATCCTAAAACAAAAAAGAGACACACAAAAAGTAGAGTAATCCTGGGAACCAGCAGTTAGCGTAATGGCTATGTCGCTGGACTCCCACGTAGTCGACCGCGGTTTGTGTCCCGGACCCGGTGGCTTAAAACTCACGCCGGGCGCGTGTGCATGCGTGCCCAAGATCCCGAGAGGAGAATGGAGGAGAAGGGATTGCGGCGTGACCATCCCCCCTGGGGGGTGATTTCTCGCTTTCTGTCTCTATGTCTGTCTCTGTCTGTCTGGCGAGCGCACGCGCCCTACAGTGAAAAATCTCTCCAAAAAAAAAAAAAAAAAAAGTAGAGTAATCTTTACCTTGTATGATACGACTAAAGTAATAAAACAAAAAATGTTTAATTACAATAAATTTTGACACGTGCAATGATTGAGATATACTAATATTCCTCACACAGTTATCGCTTTTTTCATGACAATCATCACCTAACAAACTATATAATTTATTATATATACTGTTTATCCACCCTGCTCCCATATTAAACCCCATGAAAAAAGTGACTTAGCTTTTCAATAGGAGCTCAATAATATATAGATAAAATGGCACAGCCACTAAAGAAAACAATATGGAAGTCGAAAAAAAAAATTATGGGGGGGTTAGCAGGCATCCCAGATGGCTGACCACGGTTCAAGTCCTGGACCTGGTGGCTTGCTTTCTCACTTTCCCTCTCTCCCTCTCTTGCTCTGTCCCTTCCGGTCAAACTAAAAATAAATAAATAAAGTTAAATAAAATAATTCTTTTAAAAAATAGAATTATGATCCATTAATTCTATTTCTGAGTATATACACAAAATGATGGAAAGCAGGGGCTCAGAAATTTTCATACCCATGTTTATAGGAGTTTTACTTGCAGTAGTCAAAATGTTACAGTAGTCCAAAAGTTCACTAATGGATAAATGGATAGATAAATGTTCATCCATATAAAATATACATACAACTATTCAGCCTTGGCCAGTTAATGTCATGCTGGATAAGGGGGCTGGATCCCACAAGGTCAACCCGGAGGCTTGAAAAAACAAGCCAAGTGCATGTAATGCATATCCATAATACTGAGGGGAGAATGGAGAAGAGATTGCAGCGTGGCCATCTCCACTAGAGGGTGCTTTCTTGTTTCCCTCTTTTTCTGAAGAGTGAACAAACCATAGAGCAACAATTTAAAAAAGAAAATATTAAGAAGGAGAGTCAGCCTATTGCACAGTGGTTAAGGGAGGTAGATATAGTTTGCATCGCAGTCTCAGCAGCTTGAAAAACACGCAGGGCACATGATTATGCCCAAAATTCTGATGGAGAAAAAAGAACGGAGGAAAAAGGATTGTACGTGACCATGCCTCGTTGGAAGGGGTGCCTTTTCTCTTTCTTTTCCCCTTTCTCTCTGGCAAGAGCATGAGTCCCTTGGCAATTAAAAATAAATAAATTAAAAATTAAAAAAGCAACAAGGGCAGGAGAGAAAAAATGAGGAAGGTAAAGATGCACAATTTTTAAAAAGCATACGAGGGACCAGCAACTGTCAAGGTGACACTGGACTCCTACATGGCTGACTACTGTTCAAGTCCTGGACCTGCCAGCTTGAAAATCATGCCTAGTACATATAGAGAGTGTGCCCAAAATCCCAGGAGGACAATGGAGGAGAAAGGAATACAGTATGACCATTCCCGCTGGGGGAGTCATTTCTCACTTTCCCTCTCACTGTCTCAATTCAGATGTCTCTTTTCTGAGAACACACACACCCTATGGCAAAAACTTAAAAAAAAGAAAAAGAAAAAGAAAAAAAAATTAACACCTATTATAATAAATGCAACTGAAAAAAATCACCTATTAAAATAACAGTCAAAAGAGGGGAGCAGGTAGTGTGGTGGTTAATGGCGCTGGACTTTGGTCCGAATACCAGACCTAGCTGCTTGCTTTCTCACTCCTCCCACCCCGACCCTTCTCTGGTCAAATTAAAATAAATGAAGTTAAATAAAAATAATTCTTTAAAAAAAATAACACTCGAAAGAGACAAATGAGTTAAAGCCCAGAAATACGCTCTTTACAAGACACAGAAAGACTGGGATCAGCAGTTGGCGTAATGGCTGTGTCGCTGAACTCCCATGTAGTTGAGTGCGGTTCCAGTCCCAGACCCGGTGGCTTAAACTCATGCTGGGTGCATGTGCCCAAGATCCTGGGAGGAGAATGGAGGAGAAGGGATTGTGGCATGGCCATCCCCCCCAGGGGGTGATTTCTTGCTTTCTATTTTTCTGTCTCTCTCTGTATCTCTGGCAAGTGCACGCTTCCTATAGCAAAAACCTCTCCTCCCCCCACCCCCCAAAAAAAGACAAGACACAGAATGAAAAAGGAAAGGGGTTGGAAAGTGAAACTCCTGACAAATATAATAATAAAACTTGAAAAGCTGGGCCAGCCAGGAGTATGGTGATTAAGGCAGCTGGATCCCATATGGCCAACTTCGTGGTTCAAGTCCCATACCAGGTGGCTTGAAGAACATGCTGGGTTCATGTGCATGTGTGCCCAAAGTCCCGAGAGCTGAATAGAGGAGAAGGTATTGCTTTATATGGTCATCCCTCCTGGAGGCAGGGGTGTTTTCTCACTTTTTCTTTCCAGCAAGTGCAGAAGTCTTACAGCAAATTAAACAAAACAAAGGAACAAACAACTTGAAAAGCAGTATTATCGGACAAAAGTAAACTCTAACAGACATTCACTAGGATAAAAAGGTATGTTTCTTAATGAGGTAGACTGTAATCTTAGCCCGATTCTTCATCCCCTTTTAACAGGATAACATATTTACGTTTTTGGCCAGGAAATTTTGCCTTGCCCTTTAACTCTGGGAATAGCTGATGTTAAGTTCAGCAACGGGACTTGCTTCGGCAGATGTATTATTAGTCTCCTTGGGAGCAGAGATCTTTAAGGGTAGTTACATGATCTGTCTTGTTCTCTTGATTAATCATGAGCTGAACATACTCTGGTAACTACTGTCCTTTTAGACAGAGCCCCAGAAAGAACACATGTAAAGGTCTGAATTCATCCTGCAGCCCAGTCACTCCAAGCCCAGTCTAAATGAACTGAACGCAGTAAACCCGTAAACCCAACCTGCATACCTGCAAATAAACACTTGCTGTTACATGCCACTGATTTTAGAGATGGTTTGTTGGGTAACAATTATTATCATGGTAATAATTAACTAATACGAATAAAAGATGCAAGCCATGAAATGATAATAAACCTGGAAATGATCACCAGGAAAATGTAAAGGTAGAGAGAACAGTGTCAAGGACTACAAAGGAATAAAAGAGTGAATTAAGAAGTGGACACTGGGGAGGGCGGACCACCAGAAAACAAATAGATGACTGTTTTTTCCCCAAACAGTTACCAACTATGCCAACTCAAATGAGACAAAACCCACTACACATCCCAGTCTTGCACACGACAACACATCCTTAACCACAATTACACATAACCACAACCACCCTTAACCACAATTTACACATAGCCACAAACATCACCGTGCCTTCAAGTTACACAATTACTCACCCCATCACAATCACACATGCCACACGTAATTACATGCGTGGACTAATTCCCATCAATTTTTGTCCCAACAACTGCAACCACTCACCAGGAGCGTAGTGGCAACCAGAGCGCTCCTCACTGCCGCTACTCCGGACTCCCCCGGCCTCTGAAAAGGCTCGGCGCGGTCAGGGGCCCGCGGCGGGCGCACTCGAGACCGCAGGAGTTCCTTCTTCAACCACGCAGCGGGGAGAGGCAGCGTCACCTGCCGGAAGCGCCTGAATGTGCACGCGGAGAGAGAAGCTGACCGGTCGACAGCTCTCGGACATTCGCCTAACCCTCCCTCGGCGCCTGCGACGCTCCAGATCACGCCTCCCAGAAGGCCCCACGGCGCCTCAACTTCCGGCCAGGACGCAGTCTGCGCTTCCTGTGGAGGGAGGCGGGGCGAGCCGGGTCGGGGCGACCATGGTCACCCTGGAGGCTCCGCTCCCGCGCGCTGACCTATTAGGACGCGCCGCTGTGAAACTCTGCTGAAGCTGCAGGAGCAGTCGTTCCGGGTGGATCCAGACAAACGCTGAGAGGGAATCGATGTGTGTCGCCCTCCGAACCACGTTATCCAGAGGGCCTGGTGGTTTGTCTCTCGTCTCGCAGGAGCTCGAACGTTTCGTCAACGCCTGGCGGGACCGTTAGATCCATGAGGTGAGAGATCACGATCCCCGAGAAAGCCCCTTCAGGTCTTGACGTTCCGACCGGGAAAGGTGGAAAGGCCTTACGGCGAGGGTACCGGAGGCAAGTGGAGAACTAGGGCCTCGGAGGAACGAACGGCCTGTGGAGGCGAGGTTGTGGAATTGTGAAATAGACACTGCGGCTTTAGGTGTGGATATGCGTTGTCTGTCATTGTGGTGTTATGAGTGTGTGTGTGTCCCCATGGGTGGTGTATGTGGTGTTTGATTGTGACTCTGCAACACTGTGGAGTGCCTGTGGCTATGCGGCTGTAATTGTGTGTGCCCGGTGGTGGGTGCGTGGTGGTGTGTGGGTATAGGGTTTCCATCAACTGTGCGACTGTGATTCGAATTCTGTGCCCAGGAAATCTGAGTTCTGGTCAGATTATAGCCTCAATGAATTGTGAACTCAGGCTTTCCCAGAGATGCTGGAATTACATTTGATGCCCCCTTCTTCTCTGATCTGTGTTCATTGTGTGTACTGGGTAATGGGGATGGGACTGGGGTCGACCTCTGACCTGATCACTTTGGGTATCAAGAAAAATTTGGTATCTAACCATTTTTTTTCCTCTTGGTTCTACACTTCTCCAGGTGAGTTGCCCAAAAGAGGAGAAAAGAATGCACGATGAACTTCTACGTGCAATATCTAAGGTATATTAAGTTTTCCTCTTTGATTTCCTTCAGAAGAATCTTGTGTAATAAAGATATGTCAGGGACCAGCAGATGTTATAAGGGTTACATCCCTGGACTCCCACATAGTCCACTGAGGTTCCAGTCCCAGACCCAGTGGCTTAAAACTCAGGCTGGGGCTTGTGCGTGGTAAGTGCCTAAGATCCCAGAGGAGAATAGAAAAGAGATTGCAGAGTGGTTGATTTCTCACTTTCTGTCTCTCTGGCAAGTGAGCAAGAAATCTTTTTGCCGTATAGCAAAATCTCTCAATCAATCAATATAATTTGATTATAGGTCCCTGTAATTCCCCTCACTCTATAGAAAGGGTAGTTGGGCTTGAAATTAAAGCCATAATGTTCACTTATTTGAAAAATACCTTCACTTCTGCTTGCTGAACTTTTTTTTGAAGAGAGATTTTTGCTACAGGCTGTGCGTGCTCACTGGAAAAACAAAGAGAGACAGGAAGCGAGAAATCACCTCCCCCCCAGGGGTTGGCCACACCACAATCCTTTCTTCTCCATTCGCTTCCCAGGATCTTTGGCACACTTGCACATGTACTCAGTGTGATTTTGAAGCTGTCAGGTCAGGGACTCTTAACTGTCATCGGCCAATAATTACGCCATCTGCTGGTCCCATGAACTTTCTTCTTCTTAAGTACAACATTTATAATATTATGATTTTAAAATAAAAGCATGATTGGGGCCAGCAGGTGGCATGGTGGTTAAGGTGCTGGACTCTCACATGGCTGACCACAGTTCAAGTCTTGGAACTGCAGGCTTGCTTTCTTTACTTTCTCTCTTGGTCAAATTTAAAAAATAATAATCATAATAATTAAAATTAAGTCAATCTTTAAAAAGTAAATAAAAATGAAAGCATGATTATTTTAGAGATTTCAAAAGCAGAATTACCAAGAAAAATTTAAATTAGGCATTCTAGTAATATTAGTGTTAATATTTTAATGTGTTTTCACTATTTTTCCAAGATCAAATTATACTGTCTATACCATTTGATATCCTATATTTTAATTAAAAAGTGTCATAAATATTCTCCTCTGTCACCAAATGATGTTGGTGAATACCATTTCAAAGATACATATTTCTTTGTATGAAAGAGCTCGGGTGGGGTGCAGGAAGTTGCATGGTGGTTAAGATACTGGACTTCCACATGGTCAACTGCAGTTCAGGTCCCAAACCTTGTGACTTGTTTTCTCACTTTCCCATTCTCTCTTTCTTCCCCTCTGTCTCTCACTGCTGCACACATGTGTCCTGTAGAAAACTTAAAAAATAATAATTTTAAAAATACGTTTTCTTTTTTTCTTTTTTTTTTGGAGAGGTTGTCGCTATAGGGCGCGTGCGCTCGCCAGACAGACAGAGACATAGAGACAGAAAGCGAGAAATCACCCCCCAGGGGGGATGGTCACGCTGCAATCCCTTCTCCTCCATTCTCCTCTCGGGATCTTGGGTACGCACGCACACGCGCCCGGCATGAGATTTAAGCCACCGGGTCTGAGACGCCAACCACAGTCGACTACGTGGGAGTCCAGCGACATAGCCATTACGCTAACTGCTGGTTCCCAAAAAATACGTTTTCTTTTTGAAGAGAGATTTTTTTCTATAGGGCACATGTGTTCACCAGAGAGACAAAGAGTGATAAATCACCCCCCAGGGAAAATGACCATACTACAGTCCTTTCTCCTCCATTCTCCTCTTAGGATTTTGGGTACATACACATGTGCCCAGCGTTAAGTTTCAAGCTACTGGGTCCAGGACTCTACAGTAGACCATGTGAGAGTCTAGCACCTTAACCACTACGCCACCTGCGGGCCCCAAAATTATTTTTTAAAAGCTACAGTTTATATAGTATTTCAGATATATTATGTCACCCTTAAATCCTTATTTAACTGTCTGTACATACACAAAGACACATACATACAGAGATTTGGATTTGGATTTCCATGATAATAATATTGGACATCATTTCATTTGTTTGTTGGTTATTAGGATTTCTTCTTTTGATTTTTTTTTTTGGGGGGGGAGAGGTTTTTGCTGTAGGGAGCATACACTCGCCAGAAAGCAGGAAATCACCCCCCGGTGGGGGGCGGTGGCCACTCCACAATCTCGTCTCCATTCTCCTCTCAGGATCTTGGGCACACATGCACACATGCCCAGTGTGAGTTTAAACCACTGGGTCTGGGACTTGAACCACGGTTGACTGTATGGGGAGTCTAGCGACATAGCCATTACGCCAACTGCTGGTTCCCAGTATTGTGTTCACATTCACTGTTTTTATCTTCAATTAACATTTATTGATACATAGGAGATATTTATGTATAATATAGATATGGATACTTTATTAATTATTTTGTCCTACTATTTGGACTATTTTATCAGTTATTTTAAAGTAGTTTTGTGAATAGAAGTTACAATTTTTTGTTGTTGTTTTTGAGAGATTTTTGCATATGATAGACAGAGACAGAAAGTGAGAAATCACTCTCCTGGGAGGATGGCCACACCACAATTCCTTCTCCATTCTCCTCTTGGGATTTTGGGCATACATGAACATACGCGCCATGTGAGTTTAAAGTTTCTGGGTCCAGGACTCAGACCATAGTCAACTACATGGGAGTCTAGCACCTTAACCGTTATACTACCTGTTGGCCCCCAGAAGTTCTAGTTTTTTGTTTTTTGGGTTTTTTTTTGGAGAGGTTTTTGCTATAGGGTGCATGTTGCTCGCCAGAAAGACAGAGAGAGACAGTGACAGAAAGTGAGAAATCAACCCTCCACGGAGGATGGCCATGCTGCAATCCCTTCTCCATTCTCCTCGCTGGACCCTGGGCATGCGTGCACATGTGCCCAGTGTGAGTTTAAGCCACCAGGTCTGGGACTCAAACCGCAGTCGACTATGTGGGAGTCCAGTGACATAGCCATTACACCAACTGCTGGTCCCATTATCTCTTATTCTTTTAAGGGAACCTATCTTTTCCTCCTATTAGTGATTTTGTTTGTTTGTTTTGTTTTCTAAATTAAAAAAAAATGATTAAATATTATTTTAAATATTATTTATTTATTTATTTATTTATTTATTTTAATTTGACCTAAGAGGGACAGAATGAGAGAGAGAGAGGGAAAGTGCAAAAGCAAGTCACTGGATCAGCAGTTGGCATAGTGGCTTTGTCTCTAGACTCCCATGTAGTCAACCATGGTTCGAGTCCTGGACCCGGTGGCTTAAACTCACACCAGGCATGTGTATGTGCGTGCCCAAGATCCCAAGAGGAGAATGGAAGAGAAGGGATTGCAGTGTGGCCATCCCCTGGTGGGAGGAGTGATTTCTCGCTTTCTGTCTCTCTGGTGAACACATGCACCCTATAGTTAAAACCTCTAAAAAAAAAAAAAAAAAAGCAAGTCACTAGGTCTGGTATGTGAACTGCCGTCGACAATGTGGAAGTCCAGCACCCTTAACGACCATGCCACCTGTCAGCCCCTATTTATTCATTTTAGTTTGACCAAAGAAATAGGGGTGGGGGGAACATGAGAAAGCAAGCTGCCAGGTCTGGGACTTGAGCTACCATCAGCCATGTGGGAGTGCACCACCTCTATCACACTTGTTGTCCCTTCTCTTGCTGATTTTTAAAGACTTTCTCCCTGTTTTGGCTTTTCTGTAATTTTGGTATAATATATCTAATTGTGCATTTCTTTTTATGTATCTGCTTGAGACTTAACAGTTTTTAAACTTTTGGAGAAGTTTTTTGTTGTTGTTGTTGGTTTTTTTGTTTGTTTGTTTTTGTTTTTGTTTTGCTACAGGGCATGTGCACTTGCCAGAAAGACAGAGAGAAAGAGAGACAGAAAGCAAGAAATCACCCCCCAGGGGGGATGACCACACCACAGTCCCTTCTCCATTCTCCTCTCAGGATTTTGGGCACGCAGGCACACACTCCTGGTATTAATTTAAGCCACCGGATCCGGGACTCGAGCTGTGGTCGACCACATGAGAGTCCAGTGACATAGGACTCAAACTGTAGTGGGCCACATGGAAGTCCAGCACCTTAACCAACACACCTCCTGCTGGCCCCCTATTCTTTCTTTTTCTTGTCCTTGTTTGTTTCTTTTTGTCTTTTCATTTTTTAAAAGAGATTTTTGCTATAGGTGCGTGTGTTTGCCAGAGAGACAGAAAGCGAGAAATCACACCCCCCCCCCCCCAGGGGGGATGGCCACGCCACAATTCCTTCTTCTCCATTGTCCTCTTGGGATTTTGGTCTTGCACACATATGCGCCCTGCATGAGTTTAAGCTGCCAGGTCAAGGACTTGATCCACAGTTGACTACATGGGAGTCCAGCGATGTAACCATTACACTATCTGCTCGTCCTACAATATGACATGAAAGAACCTTGCCTCATCGCAGGAGAAGAGAGTGGGGATGGCAGGCAGCTAGAATTTTTGGGTTCTTCTCCCAAGTGAATACATGATAAAATCTAGGCAGGATGGAAAAATAGAGAAGGGATTGCTGCGTGACTACTTCCCATTTGGAGAGCTTTCTCCCTATCCCTCACTCTGTCTCTTGTAAGCAAGTGCACCTGCCATCTGGCACCAAAAAAGAAAGAATGAAGGAAATTTAGAAAATAGGATGTAAGGGGCCATCAGGCGGTGTGATGGTTTGGAACACTAGACTCCCACATGGCCAACCATGGTTCGAGTACCGTACATAGTGGCTTGCTTTCTCACTTTCTCTCTCTCTGTCCCTTTCCAGTCAAATTAAAATAAATGAATAAATACAATTAAATAAAATAATTATTTTCTCTTTCTCTTTTTTTCTTTCTTTCTTTTTTATTCTTTCTTTTTTTTTTTTTGGAGAGGTTTTTGCCATAGGGCGTGTGCGCTCACCAGAGAGACAGAAAGCGAGAATCACTCCTCAGGGGGGATGGCCATGCCGCAATCCCTTCTCCTCCATTCTCCTCTCGCTCGGGATCTTGGGCACGCACACACACGCGCCCAGCGTGAGTTTTAAGCTACCAGGTCCGGGACGCAAACCGCGGTCAACTATGTGGGAGTCCAGCGACATAGCCATTACACTAACTGCTGGTCCCAATAAAATAATTATTTTAAGAAAAGAAAATAGGATGTAAGATTATCAGTGATTTTTATAGATAATATGACTGTGTATCTGGAAAATGAAATCTACTTATAATCAGCACTTTGAGATCAGCAGGACTTCATATGAAACAAGCAAAATAAATTGTCCCGACCCACGGGGACAGTCAAACAGGTTCCCTGGGGGAGACAATACGAGGTGCTGATCAAGTCTTCTTCTTCTGTTTATTGAGGAAAAAATGGCGAGTTATATACAGGCTGGTGGGCACCAATTGGTTGCCCGAAATGCAAATGAGATAGAACCGCATGAACTAATCATTGGTGTGAGTGGATCTCTCCTGTTGCCTAGAAACCCAACTGCCCCCTTGGGGAGAACAGTTGGTCACATGATTTCTGAGAACCGGTTTGCTCAGTGAGGAAGTGAAGCCTAATGGTTTCCAAGATGGTGGATAGCTCAAGATGGTGGATAGCTCAAGATGGCTTCTGTATGCAATGCCCTCCACAATAAATTGCTTTCCCCCGCTATAATTTTTGCTCTCAACCTATTCTGTGGGCTAATTCTTCTGTTGCCCTGGGTAAAAACTTATGTAGTGCCTATCATTGTTTTGATCACTCTTTGGTATCCTTTGTTTGTTTGTTTGTTTGTTTGTTTTGGCTTTCAGTCACAAGATCAGTCTCATTTTACTAAGTAAAACCTCTAGATCATTGCAATAATATGTAAATTTCACATAAAGCCTCTTCTCTGAGCTTATACTTGCTTTAAGCTAGAAGTTTGGAGTGTGAAAGGGGAGCACATTAAGCTTCTTGACTTCTTCATCCTGAACTTCTCTTTCTCCCATCTGATAGATAGTCTCTTGATCCTATGAGATTTGAACCAAAGGACGGAAAGAAGAAGAAAAGAAAAGAAAATCTTCCTTGACCTGTTTTAGTGGTGACCTCTCTTGCCTTAGTATATGTTCAACACTAACTCTTTTCTTAGAGTATTTTTTATAGGCTTTTCAGATAAATCCCTATGGAAACCTCTAATTGTTTTTCCTGTCATATGGGCAGCATGTCTCTTTGAAATGACTACTTACAGGGCTGGCAGGTGGCATGGTGGGTAAGGGCGTTGGATTCTCACATGGCCAACTGTGGTTAGAGTCCCGGACCTGTTGGCTTGCTTTCTCACTTTCCCTCTCTCTCTCTCACTCTGTCCCTCTGATCAAAATTAAAATAAATAATAAACAAGTAAAGTTAAATAATTTTTTTAAAAAAGAAATGACTACTTATAATACCTGTTACACACTTTGGTATTCTGTGATTCATTCCTTTATTGACATCATGTTGTTCACTAGGTCCACATCTAGTTAGAAGAGGGGAGCAGGAATCATTATTTGTACCTTCTAAACACAGTAAAAATTTTCCCAAAGAATCTTGTCATTCCACTTTGGATCTTGGGGTCTAACAGGGTCCCCTTGCTTGGTCTAAGATGAAGGAGAAGTACTTCATTTCTCTCGTGGAATGGTAATATATGTTCTTTTCAAAACAACGAATTCTTCGGCACCAACTGGGTGTACTACAATTGAACTCAATTTTGGTACTACCAGAATGAATAGATTCCACAGATGAAGGAGCTCAGTCTCAGAAGACTATCCCTGCTTCAGACACCAGCCACAAGTCTTGGGTTTCCCCAAGACAATGTACTCTGCACAGCTAGCCACAAACTGAGGAGTTCCAATCATCTTCTTTTAGGTTCAATAATTTAGTGAAACAACTCACAGATCTTAGGGAAGTGCTATACGTACAAGTACATATTTAGTGTTTTCTAGAAAAGTCCATTATTCTCGTTCTTCAGGGTTTTTTGTGTGATCTGTGTTATCTCCTTAGAAGCTTTCAGAAAGTTCTATTTTTCTTCAAAATTCTGAAATTTTACTGAAAAATGAAAGATTTCTGAAAGTTTATCACAGTTTTCACTCCCTTACAGCTTACAGGCAGAAAGGGAAGAGGGGAAGAACTTATTGAGCTGGATACTCGCTATTTCGTATTATCGGAAAAGCCCATTCTGTTTGTATATTTTCTAGACATATCCCTCTCTCCCCAGCGGATCTGTCTTTTACTGATGCAAGGTTCCAGCCCCTTAAATGTGTTCACTCTGTTCCTTTCCTGCAGAACCTTCCACTACCTCCTCTACTATTACCATCTTTTTCTTAATTGCTTTTCTTTGTGAAAATGTGTGTGTGTGTGTGTGTGTGTGTGTGTGTGTTCTCCCCAGGGGTCAGTGATATTCAGGGATGTATCCATAGACTTCTCTCAGGAGGAATGGGAATGCCTGGACTCTGGTCAGATGAATTTATACAAAGAAGTGATGTTGGAGAATTTCAGCAATCTTGTTTCAGTGGGTAAGGATAACAATCTCCCCAAATTCAAAGTCTGCCTGTGGAAATGTCTCCTTTCTCTGTTGTGAATTATTCACTTTGAGTAACCAGCTGAATTTCTGCTCCCTGTTTCCCAAGGAATGGTGTGAGTTGGAATGGAATGGAAGAGTTGGAAATGGGCAGCTGCAGTGGGCTGTGACCGAAGCTTTATCTTCTCTACCTTTCTCTGGTCCATCCTGTAGTGGCATCTCTGACTTGATCACCAAGGGATTGGATCTGAGTTCTGGGACACCACAGCATAACCATGTCCCATGTCTTTTCTTGTGAGCAGGACTTTCCAGTTCTAAGCCAGCTGTAATCTCCTTATTGTAAGAAGGGAAA